TGAACAAACAGAAATTACAATATCAGAATACAAAAATTCTCTTCCTATTAAAAGAACGAAAAACCTAAATTAAATACAGGAAAAATCTAGTTACTTAGTAATTTTAAAACCCTGAACAATATGTGATACAGATGCTGACTTCACCAGACTGTCAACCTACCAACTCTGTACTGGTCTGGTTGATTAAAATGATGCAAGATATAAAATTAAAAAAAAAGAAAAAAAAAAAAAAAAGAAAAATCTGTTATACTTCATTATATAATCCAAAGATTATATGTTTGCCTGAAATCAGCCTATCTTTCTAAAAAGACAGAACCCAAGACATTGCATGTAAATAACCTGTCTTGCTTATAACTGTAGACTATCACAACCCTATTAATGTCGCTGCTGTTTCTCCTTGTGTTCATATTGTAATGGATTTCTCTCGTACAAGGGGCTGTGTAATGCTTGTGTCAGTAGTCAGAGTAGAATATAGAAAGGCTGCCAGGATTATCAGGGAGAAGGAGGATGAGTAACCAACACATAATGTTCCCAGGATGAGCATTTCAGTGCATTAATAAAACTGCAAAGCCATGAGAGCATAAGAAAATGGCATACAATGTTCCAAACATGTTAAATATAACTTCAAATAACTGTAACATGGTCAGGGAATGGATAAACGTTCCACAATAATCCTGAAAAAAGCAAACCCCCAAAGATGATTATCATACAGAAACAAATAATTTTACAAATTAATGCACCTGACAGATTTGTAGTGTGTCAGTTATATCTTCCAAATATTCCCCACTGTGTCACTCCTACAGTAATCCATCCAAGAAATTTATCACTAGGAATGAGAGTAAACAACATTTTACTGATGGATTACCACAAAAAAACGTTAAAAAAAAATATTCCATCCTTACCTGTCCATCCCCACTGGACACAAAGTCCTTGAGCAAGTAAATCCCAAATGATCCCACACATAGCAGGCCCCTTAAATGCCATGTAACAAAACCAAATTTTCTTCCCCTTGCTCTCAAGAATGCTCAAAGTACAGAATTAGGTTTAGGAGCTCTCTAAAACTTCTTTCCTGTTTCCATCCACACAGAGAAAGATATTCTACCCTCAGTATTCCAAGACAGGTATGAACTGTCTGCAGTGCCTATCCAGCCCATTTAATTGCCTTGCATATATTAAAATTTTTGTTATTTCTACTGGGTATCAAGTAGGTAGGAGACAGTATTAACAAGATTCATGGACTTTTTCCCCCCTTTAAGGGCAAAATATCACTAAAATTATACCATACCCAATCCATCAGATTTCTTTTTAGCTGCTTGACTACAATTAGCATCTGAAGCAAAGTACTTTCTGAAGTCTTGTAACTGATGTAAGCAAAAAAGGCTGGAGAGCTAATTCCATCAACTCATATGTTGATTAAATCTTGAGAAGCTAAACCTCACATCCAAAAAAATAAATTGATACTTCAGTTGACTGGAACCAGTAACATAGCTTTTGATAAATGTAACTCTCAAACTTTAGTTTGCACTTTTATGTTTACAAATTTTCATTTCAGATGAAGAAATCCATTTCAGAGAGCAGTATGACAGCAAAATAAAGCAAGACACTGCTAGATTCTAGACAGACATACTAGAGCAACGTAGAACTGCTCTAGTATGCAGGCATCTCACTACAGACAGTATCTTCTGCTGGGCTGTCAGTCTCCCACTGGGATGGGGAGCACATACACAGGGATGTTCTACAATAAAACAGTGTTTGTTTCTTATATAGAGCCTTATAGGTATCACAGGATTATTCCTCTCAATGCTTCAATATTTAATTCATCAAAATTTTTAAGCAGAGCATAGCAAAGCACTTGAAGTTTCATAACATTCCACCATGTAAGGTGTTCTGTGATTCTTGGAGCTGCCGCTCTCCTTGCAAGAGCCAAAAGCCAAAGTACAAAGCAACTGCTATGAGTTGATAGCAAATGGCCTTTACTGCTGCTTCTCAGAACTGTACCCAGATCAGCTCTAACAGACAAGAAGCAAACCGAAGCCTATCGTCTGAAAGGCCACATGCAGCTGCAAGGAAAATCAGGATACACGCAGGTCATCCGCTCTGTTCAACATCTGCTACTGGTTTACTTTCTATGAAGCAGAACTACAAATAGCTGACACCTTATCAATTTTCAAAAGAAACTTCTATAATTACATTGGTATGCCCTATAGAAACACTACTAGCTTTCTCATAGCAACCTTCAATGATTCAAACAGCTAGCCCTGCTCTTCCCACAAAACTGTTAATACTAAGAGAGCTTCATCATTCTTCAACAGAAGAGCTGATACATGACTGGAAGAATTACCATTATCAATGGCAATCCAGTGGCTTTATGACAGCTTATCTCTTCAGAAATAAAGTTTTATGGCAAAAGTAGTAGTACATTCAGCATACAGTAAGGCAGGATTGCTTCTATAATATCTTTCTCACCTATGATGCCTTGAATGCACACATTACAAAGTCTTTTTAGCAACCCTGTAAGATAGGTTAAGTATGACTCCTGTTGTAACAGATGAGGAAACAAGCCTGCAAGACAAGAAAACTGTTCAAAGCAGCCTATGCTACAGAAAGATTTCTTTATCACCCCTATGACCCACTCCAGTTTGCCTTCCTAGATCTGGCTGGCCCTTGTCCCTCTGTTCACTGTTGGGTGCCTGACTGACATCTTCTTGGGCGGACTCAGTGTCCTAAAACATCAGAAAATAAATATTTAGAAAGTGAGGAGTATTCTGTGGCCTTAAGGGAGCTGGATCAGCTCTGAAGGTTCAGATGAGTGTTGGAGCTGAAACAAAGGAGCAGGCAGGACCCACAAGACTTAAGTACAGGGAGACCTTTCAGAAACAGAAAGATGTTAGATCAGCTCAGCTTCACCATGGAACTTTCCCACAGGACAGAGCTGCAGCATCCTCCTTAATACTGAAGGGAAAGATGGCATCAAAAGAAGGAAGAGTTCACCATTACTGGCTTCCAGTCTGTGCTACAATCCTACCACCACTAAGCATGGCTCATCTGATGTTTTCCTGTCCATTTCCATCTTGCTTCAAAACTTACCTGTTTTTGGATCCACAGGAAAAGCCATGATTACTATCCTGCTTTTTGGTTTCATATTTGAAAATGTCCATCAACATTTAGTAAAACGCATTGTGTCCAAACACTTCTCCTGCAGTTCACTGCAGATGGACTGCTACCCAAGACAGGTTAATTCAAAATTATTTACAATAACCAAGAATACTCACTATTTCAATCAAGCAAGGAAACTTGATTTAAATATACAATTTTCATTTGATTTTGCATTTCTACTCCTTTTCTGAAAGAAAGCTTGTTACTAGATAGTAACCTTAAATTGATGTTGATTTGCATGTAAACATAGCTCACATCTCATATTTGATATTTTGTTTTTCTGACTTTAATGCTATAAAACATTCACATTTAAGTAATTACATTATTTAAGCATACATTTATTCAGATTGATATTAAAGAATGGGAAATAGTCCTTCTCATTTTCAGGACCAGATGTTCTCCAAACTGCCAGATATAAATACCACTAAATACCAGTATATGCATGTGTAAGACTACAAGTACACAAGGTACTCTGAACTGTTATAAGACCCAGTCTAGAAAAAGAAGTTACCACTGCCAACAGTCAAACCCAATGTCACTGGAGATAGCAAAAAAAAAGAAGTTGCTATTTTTTAAAGAATTATGTTTTAGGATTATCTTCCAAACTCATAACTGTATCATTAGGTTCAAAGGAAACTAGAATTCTATTTACACAAATCCAAGTTTTATAAGATTTAAAGAATGTTACTAATAAATAAAACTACACTAGGTATTTTGGATTCATACGCCTCTATTAATAATATTTTTCATTAAAAATTAATTATTTGTTTTAAGTAAAAGGAAGCATTATCTTTTGATAGTGAACTGAGGTGACTTTCTGGATACTACATCACTACATCAGTAGAAATAACTGATTGCAACATCACATTTCATTTTTATCGCATTTTGTTAGAGGAAAACAATCCTCTTCCATTTCTCTCTTTTTTTTTTAAAAAAAAAGACAAACTACACTGAAATTAAGACACAATTTCCATCTATGCCTACTGAAGAAAATCTGTTGCAAGCTGATCTGCCACTTCAGCAAACTGAACCCAATTATTTACCCAATAATATACCTCATTTCAGTGATCTGATGTACTTTAAAACTTCAGAAAAAAAAAAAAAGTAATATTTATTCGCAAATCTATTTCATTTAAATTTGACAACTCATTCTGAAGGCTAAATTTACTACAATAGACTTAGACAAAAAGTTCCACTTAAAAATAGTTATCTTTCTATATCCATTTTTAGCTACCCTGTAAATGCTCTCTGACATATCATAGTAAAAAAAGACTTCTGGTTATGGTATTGTCAGAAAGGCTCCTCCTCCATTACAGACCCAGGTCTGCACTTCCATCACAACAAAAAAAGGTCCTGAATCTCAGTTTAAAAGCTAACATTGAAGATAAGACCAAACTAAAAAGCCAAATTCTAAAGTAAATTGCATGAGGTACAGGCACACATTCTCTTCTAATCATTCAGCAGCAGACTGGTGATAGTCTAACAGGTACAGCAGGGGAAGACATATCAAACTGTCACAGCCAGACTTTGACACATTTTGTCTGCTAACGCCCTTTAGACATACTAGTTTTTTTTCCTCTTTAAAACTTCAGGAAAAGATAGAGACTTCATACCCCAAATCTCAACATACACAGGGTTTCATATGGATGAATATGGCATCAACAATGAGTGTGTCAGGTTCACAACAGAGGAGCTATACAGAAATTAGTATTTCTACTTCCCCCCCACCCATCCAAAGATATCTGTGTATGCACACATGAGAAGAAAAATTGTAACTGTTATTTGTCAAAACCCTGTAGTGTCATATAGCAGCAGTAGGTCAACCTTTAGAAGACAGCTCCAACCTGACCAGTGACTGATCTGCTTCCTTCCAGCTGAGACATCAGGTTATGACAAACATTATCCTGGTCATGCAGTTAATGATGAAGATGGAGGGAATCCCTCTAAGAGAAAAGCAGAAACACAAGAAGCAAGTTTCCTTCTGGGAAAATTAGGTGAATTAAGGTCACACAGAGAACAAGCAGGTGGTTCACAGGGTAAAAAGAGCACTAGATTAACAAATGGAATTCATGCAGTTTTATTTTGAAGCCATGATGCTAAAGCTCTTGGGCAAAAGGCCCGAATCAGACTTCAGGCATAGTATCAGTTTCCTGGACGGAGTAACAGGCCAACAGCCCGTACATACATACTACACAGCGTCATCTGCCATCTAGTACAAGGAATGTTTAATTAGCTTAGTAGGGATACAGGGTTTGCAGGGAGAGCATGGGAGAGTCTGTGTCCTTCAGTTTAGCAACAGCATTTGTAAGACACTTTTACACTTAAAAAAAAAAAATAATTGAAAAAAGACAAAAATTGTTGAAGAACTGTTTTATTAGCATGCTAATGAAAAGCTAAATCATTTGATATGAGAAATGACGTGTTCATAAAATCCACTAAGCAAGACAATCCTGTCTCAATAAATTAGACACTTTAAGTCCACATAGGGAGACAGCAGTGTGTTATTAGAAAAACAATGTACAATCAGCAATTAAACACAGAGATAAAATGCTGATGAAAAAATTAAGATGGTAGTGACTCCTTTATTATCATTCCCATAAAGACCCAACTAATAGAAGTGTACCACAGGTGTTTGCCTTAAAAAACAAATACAGCTTGCAAGCTCCTGAGAGGAGAAAATGCGTTATCCTCATGCTAGATTCTTTCCAGGCACATTTTTGGTTAATACTGTAATCATACAGCGTTATTGGGGCTGGGGAAGCAGGACAGGACAAAAACACCTCTTTGACAACCAATATGGCCATCTCAACCCAAAACCTTTGTATAATACCAATACTTTATTTTCATTTTTGCTTCTGCACAACACAAACATGCACCGAAAACCAGCAGTGGAAAGCAGGAAGCAATCTTTCTAATTGATCAAGGCCTAGATTCAGCAAAATACTTCTTCATATGCTCAAGCTACGAACACACTATGATACCCTGCTGATTTTGGGTATAACCACAAAGAGCCAGGGCATTTGACTGAAGGATGTTATGACTATACAACACAAAATCAATTTCTATGATACTACAGCCACTGACAATAAACATTTCCTTTCTAGCTGAGAAAGCAAGGGGCTGTGTGGCAGCATTTTCAGGCTTTCCACTGACATCATGCTAAGAAAGAGGTAATTGTTCCAAGGCAGATTTAGACTTATCACCAACATGAGGATATGTCTTGTTTATAATTAAGACTCATCAATAAGGATTTCAGAATTTAGAGGACCAAAAAAAAAAAATATATATATATATATATATCTATATATATATATATATATCTATCTATATCTCAAACACAGAAAAAAACAAATCTACTCTAGGAATAATCTACGCTTTTGCCCACTTTGTAAATACCAAAACAATTCTACAGAAAATAATCCATGTGAATGGGTGCTAGGGCAAATAACTCACAACTTGAAGTATCACGTTTCTTAAACCTTTGATCCTTCAAGCAGGAGAGAGTACAGAATATATTAAAGTCTGAAAACCTTAATATAAGAAGAGACATTATGGCTTTCAGAGCAGTGATATATACCAGTTTTTGTCTGAACAGTGTTTTGACCAGTTCTGGGCCCAAAATTTTCCAAAACACTGAACAAAAGGTCTTTGGCTGTCAGTTCACAGCAAGCATGCTGCAAAGTGCACTAGATATCCTAATGCTGCCAAATAAGCTGTGCACTTCTGAGAGTTTTATTTGGTGTGGACACCTGCATCTTCCACAACTTTTCCCTCCCTATTATCACTTATTTGTACTTTAGAATGGACAGCTTTGAAATATCCTGCAAGAAAAGCTTGAAAGAGAAGGCTTGAGTACTACTGTACAGGCCACCTAACAAACATCAAGAGTCTAGAGAGCAAAAACCTTAACAGTCTCACTTTGAGGAACTATGCACAGAATCAACTGCATAGCCACAGGAGCTTGTCCTGAAAGAAAAACTCAAAAATGCAGAGGGACAAGGCAAGAAACATGACAGCATTATCATCTTTTGATGAATTTAAATCCCTGAGAGATCCCTGAATTTACTCAGCTACTCAAAGAAGGCAAGTAAATCTCTGAAGAGAGAAAGTCTCTCAAAAAAAAAAAAGAAAGGAAAAAGACAGGTAAACAAGACATTACAAAGTGAGGTAGCAAGCAGCTCAAGGTGTGACACCCACAAAGCCTCACACCACAAATTGAGAAACCTAGTGAAGAAAATTATCATGAAAGAATGCAGTTTAGTTCATTGCATTTTTCATGTCATGTTTCATTTGTTCAGTTAAATTCCTGAATAAACATCTGCACCAGAACACTGACAAGACTCAAAATGAAAAGCAAAGACTTCCTTGCCTTTTCTGACACCTCTCTGAGACCTACAGAATTTTATCTTTGCCTCTTTGCCTCTTCACAAGGTCTCTACCTATACCTACATGCAAGAACAAACCTATTAACAGTTGACTACATGAGAGAATCAGCTTCCTACCTGTATCATGAATTTAAGTCTAACAATAATAGAAAATCCCATAATTACTTTTTCTGAAAAGAACACTGCTTTAGTTTAACTTCAGCACCCAGCTTCACACATAATGCAAAGACAGTACCATTGCAGAAGTTTAGGTTACACAACCTTGATGTTTAACTCTGTTCTTAACAAATCTGTGACATGGATACATTGTATTTTGCATATTGTATAGTACACTGTTCAAACATAAATCTGGAGCATAACAGCTGAGTATTAAAGAAAATTATTATAGGAATTAGGAGTCTGTCCTCCAGAAAACATCCCAAACAGGTAGGATGAGACTTTTCAAAAGAGCATCCCTGGTTTTATTTGTACTGCTTCAGCAAACACAGCCATTGCTAAAGGATTGTGAAAATGCAAACTCCCACAACCTTACTCAAAAATCTGTGGCCAAAAAGCATCTCTGAGGATAAAGCTGAATAGTCTGCAGATGCATTTTCTATTGCACAGGAGAGAAAGAAATGCACTGAACTGCTGAATCAACCATTCCGTCACAAACGCACCCCTGCCAATGAATGAGTGATACAGGCTTGTCATTGCTAACTCCCGAAACTCCCAACACACCATGTTCTAATTTACTTTCTGTGATTTACTGTCTGCTACATACAGGTAAAGGACTTTATCAACTACAAGAGTGCTTTAGTGGATCTGTCTGAATATGTGCCCTACACAGGTACCTCATCCAGGCATGCACTTTTGCCAATCTTATTAAAGTATCTACATTAGAATCATTGCTGTGTCTCATGGTTTACAGACATTGATAGGCTAAGAACTCAGAGTCTCAAAAATCAACAAGAAAACAAGGAGATAAGGAGTCACATAACAGTATTTATAGCTTAGTCTGTCCTATTTGTCTCCCCTCTTTCTGCAACTTTCTTAGTTTAACCTTTACATAACCTATTCCTCTTCAGTTGAGTAAATAATTTCACTCATTTTCAACTGCACGACAATTTCTTTTAACATAATACTGAACTTTGAACCTTTTATCCAGTGTCCTAGAAGTGCTCTACTAGCCTCAGTGATCCTAGAAGTAGGAAAATAGCATCATTCCCATTATACTAACGAGCAAAAGACAATTAGGCATCTATCATGAGCTTCTCTAGTTCCTTGAGAATTGAGAGAGAGATACAGGAGTCCTGACCGCTAGTCTGCTGCTGTAATCATCAACTAGTGCACAACAAAAATAAAGCCCAAATGTAATTGTTAACTTATACGGATACAGGTTTATTTAAAAAAATAAAACATTTCATGAGAACACTCACCTGCATGGGACTGCAATTGCTTTTGAGTACATTGTATTTATATGGGAGCAACCTCCTACAGCCTACTTCACCTTCTCAATCACAAGGCCCTGCCAGAGTAGACACCGAACAAGCAGAGGCAGAGCTTCAAACGCACTAGGAATTATTGGAATACCTGAGGTTATCCAACAGGTGAGCAGGGCTCCCCCTACACAAATGATTCTGAAATCTGATCCAGAGGACACATGTATTTATCTGTTAGGAAGGACTGGAAAAGATGCCAAAATTCATTAGGATTTCTCAATGCAGGTAAAACTCCAGATCATTAAAATTAAGTGAAAATAGGACATAACCCTTTTCTAAGAGTAGATCTTGCTGTGCAGCCAAGTATGTCTGCATGCAATTGTTATTTATTTTTAAGTTGGGGCAATTTTCCAGATAGATTTTTAGATCAGCTAACATAATGAGGTGCTTTAAAACAAAACAAAACCACCCAAGATTTCTTTCATGACTACATTTGCTATAAAGATGTAGAGGAAACAAGGAAGCAGTAACAAAACACAGTCTTCCCTAGCATACCACAAAATTGTAAAATTATAAATTTCAATGAAGGCAAAGACAATAACAATATCAGTATCCAGAAAATAGGGTCACAATTCTTAACCAGAAAGACTGGAAGAAATTGTCCTAACCATTGTAAAAAAACCCCAAAACCAAACAACCCACAAACCAAAACCAACAAACAAAACAACAAACAAAAAATACACCATACCACCCCCCCAAAAAAGCCCAGCCTAATCAAGGGCACTGACTCAAAGAAGTCATAGATTCTTTAGTATGTTCTCCAGTGCTTTCTCCACTCAACCTGCATCACCCCAGGCCTATTCTTATCAATAGCGTTATCGGCCCACACACAGAGAAGTGCATATGAAAATGTCATTCGGGGCAATCAAAACAGAAACAGAACTGAGTGTTTAAATGTCTTTCATTCAACACTTCCACTCTAGTCCTGCCAGTATAGAAGGCAACAACCCAAACCTCTTAAAACACTCCAAGGGAGAAAAGTTATTCCAAGAGCTTCAGCAAGTGTTAGGTTCAGAAAGCAATGAGATCTTAGTCTACACACCAACAAAACAAAGCATAAGTAGACATAAATGAAAAAA